CCGGGTGCTGTCCTCCGTGTCCCGCAGCGGTTGCACCGTGAGCTGCTTCACGCGGCCCGGCCGTGTGTCCGGGGCCAGGGGAGGCTCGCAGAACGGCTCACCAGAGCTGCAGCCTTTAAATGCCTCACGGTTATTTGTTTATTAAAAAAAACATGCTGTTAAAGCATGAAAAAAATCTCCTCTCGAGAGGACCTGGAGCAATTTGGTGGCATCCGAACTGTGTGGGATGCCAGAGGCAGAGGAGGGAGGCAGTTCCCAGCGCCCTTGGCCTGCAGGTGAAGCCACTTGCTCTTTGCAGGGGCTGGCGTCCGCGCGAGGGCGATGGTGTGCAGAGCTCAGCACGTCGATGCGGGGTCAGGCACACGCTTGCAGGTAGGCTGGGATTAAAGTGAAGCAGTTGGACACTGGGTTTTCACCCCAGCACGTTGCCGTCTGCATCGGTTCCTTCGTAATCAACACAAGGAGAGCTCGGTCCCTCGGGAGGCCGAAGGGAGCCTGAAATGTCATCATAGAATCACAGAGTGCTCAAGGTTGGAAGGGACCTCTCGAGGTCATCTAGTCCAACCCTCTGCACACACAGGGTCACCTAGAGCACGTGGCACAGGACTGCGTCCAAGCGGGTTTGGAAGATCTCCAGAGAAGGAGACTCCACAACCTCTCTGGGCAGCCTGTTCCAGTGCTCTGTCACCCTCACTGTCAAGAAATTTTTCCTTAAGTTCCTGTGGAACTTTTGGTGCTTCAGTTTGTGGCCATTTCCTCTAGTTCTGTCCTCCAGCGGGGAGCCGGGTGTCTCAAGTTAGCGGCTGTGGGCACGTGGTGGTGGCCTGGATGGCCCCGGCGGATCCCGCGCCACGCGGGACACGTGTCCCCTGCGCCAAGTGACCTTCCCTGCTCCCCCACCGCCACCTCCGGCGCCGGGTGTCAGAGCCAGGAATAGAGCCGAGCTCTCCCGGCCCCGGGTGCCGGTGGCATGGGACAAAGAGGCTGCTCTGCATCCCGAATCCCGACGTTTTCCAACCCTGGCGATATTTTCCAGAGCTGCCTGCAGGCGAGAAGCCCATCGGCAGCGCAGGGCAGAGGCAGGTTTTTCCGGAGGCACCTTGGAGCGAGGCTGTGCCGGGCTCAGCGCCGCTGCCTCGGCGCCCTCAGCACCACCCAGAAATCTTTAAAAAACACGAGGGGTTAAAAATCCCCCTGCTCTGCGCACGGGTGCCCTGCTGGCTGGTTGCACGCAGGCCCCTGTGCGCGTCCGTACCTGCTGGCCTGGCCTGAGAAAATATTCACATTTTCTGGTTTTCTCTCTTTTCCGCAGGCGTTTACAGAGATACAGAAGAAAAGGCTGTTGTCATGGAAACAGCAGGTGCAAAAACTCTTCCGGTCTTTCCCTCGGAAATCCCTCCTGGAGCTGTCAGGCTATCGGCAGCAGAGGAGGTAGGTGCCGCACGGAGGGGCGCGTTTGTCACCCGCCGTCCCCGTGCCCGGCTCCCACTCCGGTTGTCACTGTGCCGAGTGTCACCGGAACGACGGCGGCAGAGCCCAGGGTTGAAGCCTACACAAAGTGCAGAGACTTGGGGACCACAGTCAGAAACCCTTGGTGGGGGTTCATACGAACGCCCCGTTTACTCGCCTCCAAGATAATGCCAAATTTCAAATGATCCTGGGAAAAGTTCGGGTTATTTCCAGAGCAGATATTTCATAATCAGCTTGAACAATAACTTGGGCTGTTTTTTTTTATTGCAGTTAGTATATTTGGTTGCAATCTGGTGCAGGTTCTTTTTTTCTCTTCCATTTTTTTTCCTCAAAAAGTACTCTGGAAATGTCTGGGAGTATTGGGAAAGCAAGGAATTAAATTCAAAAGGAATGTAAAAACCACGAGTGCAGAGCTGGAATTTTCCCCAGCGAAATTTAATTAGTTTGGAGATGAAGATCCGGACCGAGTTCTCCGAAGGGAGAGAGTCGAGAGCAAAGGGTTTCCCACGGAGCCATTCGCTTGGGTTGCTCCGAAGCCGGTGCCGGCTCCGGATTCGAGGTGGAGCACCCAGGGGATGCGCTTGTTTTTCCATAGCTGCTTTCGGCAGGGGTGATCCCCGTGGCCGGGCAGTGGGTTGAGCAGCTGCCCCCAGGCCCAGCTCCTGCCGCGGGGCTGCGAGCGGGAGCAGCGTCCGACTGCAGCGCCGGGGCACACGGGGCTGCTCCGTGTTTCCCCAAGGAAACCGGAGCCGGAGCTTCCGCTTCCTGGGAAGCGAAGAGAGGAGAGCGCATGGGCAGCTCTGGGCCCTTCCTCCGCTCGCTTGCAAATGCAACAGCCTCTTACACAGCGGGAACGCGGAGGGAGAGGGAAAAGGTAAAGGCCACAGCTCACCCCAGCAGAACCCTGTCTCGTTCAGCTCCTGCTTGGGTTTTCCTTTTCTTTTTTGGCTCATTTTGTAAGAAAGAGAGGTTTATGTGGCCGTACTGTGCATGTGCACATAGGTGCCTTTCACTCAGCCCCTTACGCCAAAAATTGCTGATTTTGGACTTGCTAGCTCACTTGAACCAGATCTAACAGAAGCTGAGGTATACAGGAGAGGGCTATGTGCGTAGAAATTGGGTGCAAACGACTCTTTTAGAAGGGGAGAAAGGTGCTTTAAGGCGATGATATAACTCATAGATGGGAAGAAGAGGGATGTCCAGACCTCTGCCTGCCCTTTTGTGGTGTATGAAGGACCGTCCTTGGTGGGGCAGGAGGGCAGGGGTAAAAGCAGCGTCGAGCCGGGGTCCTGCCAGCCCCTTCCCATGGCTGGGGGCTGT